GGGTAAAGCTAAAGATAGATCAGATAGAAGATAAAATTCAAATTGGTGATAGAATAATTTGTTTTTCTTTATTTCTTTATTTTTATTTTATTCTTACTCATATATCTAGTGAATATCAATCTTATATTTACCAATTCATGCAGAAATTCAAGGTTGAGATTTCTGGGAAAATGTGCCAGGTACCCGGTGCAGGTACCCGGGTACCCGCCCCTGGCGTCCCTAGCAGGTGCGGGTGCGGGTGCGGGTGTCAAAAATATTGGATTTTTGAGGCAGGTACCCGCACCCGCTACAGGTACCCGGGTATCGAGCGCCATCTCTAGTACTCTTCTTGCAGCCCAAATACACTTCCCTGCACGTCTTGGCTTACTCTCCCTCTCACACCATGGTTCTGTGTAGCATTTTTAGGGGAAAAGAGCTTGACTTTCCAAGCAATCATTCAGCTGAGACCAAGAGTCCTATCCACTTGGTCCAATGTTCATTCTAACTACCACACTTCATTAAAGTGTAGTGGAAAGAAGTACTTTGTTCCTAGTTGGATTTGGAATTGAGGTCATCTTACTAGAATCAATTGATCCTCTAGTACCAGTCAATGCTTCAGATAGCTTGCATAGTTGGAGCAGCCATTTAAGCTTCAGAAATGGTAGTAGAGGTTTGGCATGTATGGAAAAAGTAACAGAAAATTTACAAAAAGCAAACATTGGCATAGAGCAGTGTCACACTGAAAGTGCACCCGTACAGGCTTGCAATTTGTCATTTTTGATGATTTGCTGTGGAGCTTTATAAAGCTGAATGAATCCATGTTGTAATTTCAGTACAAGCTTTTTCTGGGGCCCCATGTACTATTCCCTGATCTATAATGTTTCTAATGAGCTAGGTTTGAGTGCTACACTTTCTCCTCAGCCTTTCAAGTCTGCCTGTTGCCTTGGTAATTTCCCACTCCAATCTCTTTTCATTCTTCTTATAGTGGTTGGTTATATAATTTTATTTTCCCTTTGCCCATTTGATTCACCAGGTGGAAATGGGCAGGCCCCATTAGACTTTTTAATCATCAGTTGAAAATAATTTCAGGATAAAAACTGCAGATTCCACTTGCATTATCTATTTAGCCCTCAGTGTGATGTTAAAGTTTGGTTTATTAGGGATCTGCAAGACTCTTGTGGTGATTTGGATAATTACACATGTTGTCACTGAATTTCAAAGAATTGCCTCTTTGATCAATCTGAGAGAAACTTTTGGAATTGATTCACTCCAATTGCAGAGGTTGGTCATCATCTTTCCTGGTTTGAGAATAGAAAATTAGACCTAATTATGCTCTTTCCCAGTTGATGCTAGTAAGATGACCAGCCAAGAGCTTTAAGCTCACACTAAAAGTTTAGAAGAAGCCTTATCTGCCCTGGAGAAATATGAATATCTGAAGAAGGCTCTTGGAAACAATTTTGTCCATGTATCCATAACACTCAAAAGAGTAACATCATAATTTTCTTCCTCTTCACCATTTGAAGTGAATCTCAACCAAATTCTCCCACTGGTTTGGGTTATTTTTCTTCCAAATAAGAATTGAATATAAAAGGGCAAAATAGAAAGATATGTTATGTTATAATCATGCACAGCCAAGAAGGATCTCTCACTCAGACAATATTGAATATTTGTAAAGCAAGTTGCAACACATCAATTACTGATCATTGAGTGTTGAGAGTAAAATCTACCTTTCATATGGGCAAATAGTAGTAAATCCAAGTTTGAAGTTGGAATAATTCTGTGTCTATCTAGTCCAAACCTTTCTCAGTACAGATGTGAGGCTTTCAAATGAAATAGCTTTTAATTCTGAAAATGACTTGAACAGCATATCAATCATTGATTATTGTGTCTTTGAGGTGTCAGTGGGGAAAAAATGCTGAGGCCATTATCCAAGACACAAAGGTGATTTGCAATAAGCCATCACACTAAGTTTAAGTTTTATTGGTAAGACTCTGAAAACAGCAGCTTAGTATCCCACAGTGGGTCCTTGGGAGGAGTTGGTGGGCCTATGGGTACCCATGAATGTCCAGAACTCCCAGCTGACTAAACTTTATAATTTTGGGCTCCAGAAGCTTGAAAATTTGTTTGTGTTGGATTTTCTTTTTCTTGTAAAATTAGAGGGCTTCCTGTCAGTTTTATAAGCTCTGCAAAGCTAAAATTACAGGCTTTAAAGCTGAATTCTCACTGGTAACAAAGCTTTACAGTCTGTAGAAATAGCTTTACTGGGGGCTGTAAAATCAAAGGGAAGTCCTCCATTGTCTGGAAAGGGAAAGAAACCAAATATATTTGCAGGCATTGCAGTGGCCACCATTTGAAGCAAGACCCTGGAAATTCCCTATTGAATCAGCTCATCACCAGGAAACAGAAATGATCACTTGATGACAAGTGACATCAGCCTAATTTCAGCATGTTCCATTACATACAGTTGCTGATGGCAAAAAAACAGCCCTGGATTTTGAGGGTGTCCAAACTTAGTTTTTGTTTTGTAATTAAAGGGTTTTGTATCCCTTTTGATCCCACATAATGATGAAACATTACCTCAGAGTATTACATAAGCATTAAAAACAGGTGCTACAGGTGCTTTGGAGACCTCCAAGAGGTGTGGGCTTTTGGTAGGCAATACAAATAAATAAAAAAGAACTGCTGGAGTAGAAGCTTAGCAGTTACAATTTTGAACTTTACACATCTGTAGGAGTTCAAAATTGCCTTAAAAATAAGTATCAGGGCATAGGCCCCGCATGTCCATTTTTTATTTTTTTGGGCAGGGCATGGTTGCTCTATGCCATCTGCAGCTTAACCCAGCTCAACTCTTCCTCAGCCCCCGGTAGCACACAAAGAGACCATTGTATTTGGGTTGTAGCAGAGATGGTACTACAGAGGAGCAGTGATCAAGGATCCATGATGTCACCTGTCATCTAGTGAGCATTTATTTTTCTTGGTGCATGTAACTGGTAGCAAAACTGAATTTTTTGCAAAATGATAGAAATGAAAAATTGAAATTTTTTGTGATTTCTTCTAATAACATGCTCATGTAGACAGTAGCAAGTTTTCCTAAATTGAGTACAGATAGGGACTGAAGGCATTATGCAGCCAAAAAAAAAAGGAAATAAAACTTTGATAAATGGAAAAGACTTGAAAAATACAGACATTTAAAGGGCTGAGACTGTTATTTTGGTCAACATACTCATGTAAATGGTATCTCAAACAGGGTCTTTGGCCTAAAAACCAATCTACCTGGTAGCAAAAATGATTTTTTATCCAGATCTACATGGGCCGGTTCATTAGGGGCTTGCCTGGGTCCAGACCCAGCCCAGATTGGTCGTAGGGTGGGCTGCAACATTACAAAAAGACATGACCCATCCCATTTACAAATGGTGTGGTATAGGCCAAACATTTGTTGAAGGGGACACAGGATGAGTTGCCTGAAGTTCACAGACTGACAAGTCTTGTGACACCTGAGAGTGAGAAAATGATGGTTCTGATTCACTGGAGGGAAAACACCAATTACAATCTAGTATGAGTTATATACAAGATTGTATGTGTTAAGGTTAGAAACATACTGGACAATGCATATGCATGCTATTCCAACAACATTTTCCAATGTGACATAGCTTAGAACTATAATCCGGCAACAAGTGGGGTATTAGGAGCAGGAATGCACACACATGACTGTCATTCAAAGCAGTGTGAGCTTTAGTAGCTGCAGCTGTGAGCCTGAGTCTCAACAGTGACGGCAGGACACAAGGATGGGGGGGCAAATCTAGATGTATTTCTGAGGGATAAGGAAATACAACTAGAAGGAGAGGAAAAGAAAGAGAAAGAGAAAGAGAAAAGAAATGAATAATAATTTTTTATTGTTTATTTGTTTTATAATCAAGATTTGATGCAGTCTTACTTTCCTGAAAAGGATGGCTGTTATTTAAGCGGAATTAATCTACGCCTCCTATCAACAGAAACTGAATAGGGTACTTGGTATTGATATATCAATCCAACCTCAATTTTTTAGATCAAAGACCAAGGTTCTTCAAAGGGAAACCTAGGTGGTTTTCAGTTATACCACCAAACAGAGAGTAAAGATGACTTGAATTGAATTGATGATGATTTAGGCAGAGGTTTAGTAGAAGAGGAATGATGGGATCATTCAGAGAGACTGAGAAGGAACTTAGCAGAAAGATGCAAGCTGAACTTGAAGGAATGACTTACTATTTGGTGATCCTGACACTGAGAGTGGGAAGATTCCAAAGAGTAAAGGACTCCAAACGATAACACGGCGATGATACGGCGGTGAATCCAAGTTGAGGTATGCTGGTTTTCTGGTCTGAGTTGGTTCTGGGTGGGTCTGAAGCTTGAAGATCCTGAAAATGCAAACTCAGTGTCTACTGAGAGAATTTTCAGAGTTGGATTACGTAATCACAACATGTACATGTGGTAGGGAGTTGGAATTCCAACTTGGTAGATATTTCACAATGGTACAGTGAAATATTACAAAGTCTGTGAAGGAGAGGAGTAGTGTAAAAGTGTGTAGGGGTGACTAAGGTTAAAATTAACAGAGGAATTCATTTCTGAAGTCAGAATGCAATAAAATATTAAGATGAAAAAGTTACAGTAGGGACTTGAATGAAAAGGGAGGACTTAGGCAGTCTTTTGGCCAGCTTGGCTGGCTCTAAGGCTGACAGCAGCACTAAGATTGCATGCAAGTGAGATTAAACGTCAAATACAAGAGTTTACAAGTGTTGGAGTATCACGTGAGGCGTTGTTTTCCTTTTTCTTCTCTCCTTTTCTTCTCTGCTTCCAACCTTTCTCTCAGGTGTCACACATCTGTGAAACCTATGTAGGTAGTCAACCTAGGTCAGCAGTGTGCACGTGGAAGGCTCTTTTCCCCATCCTTCCACTAACTCACTGTCTGGCCTAGGTAAGTCCAGTTGTTTTCTTTTCTCATCTTTCTCTTCCTTCTTTCTCAAGTATGCAATGAATCATCCTTCCACTAACTCACTGTCTGGCCTAGTTCATTGCAACAACCAGTATTGGCTATATGAGCAGGCATCCATCTATATTCTTTATGTGGAGCCAAAAAAATGTATAAGGAAGGGTGCTTGATTGTTGTTCTTGTACAGTGCTAGTTTTATGTAACTTGGATTTTCTAAAATAAATGAACAACAAAATTTGTAGCAAAGAAGATTTTCATAGTAGCAAAGATTTTCAAGAATTTAAAACATCAAGAAAAGGAACACAATGTCATTAGGACTTGAGTTTACCGCCAATCTCAAACTCGGCGTCAGTTTTATCTTTAACCTCTTGTAATGTTACCCCGGGTTGTAAGTCTACCAAAGTCATTTTCCCAGCGTTTCGATCAATATCAAATACAGCCTAGTGATCAAAATTAAACTCAGTTTCTCCAAAGGATTTACTGTCACGTTGCAAGATGATTGAGGCATGTAGAATGGATGATGACTTACGAGGTCAGTGATCACCTGACTGACACAACGAGTCCCAGTCAGAGGCAATTGACAATCGTTCACGAGTTTACTAACGCCATGTTTATCGCAGTGATCCATGACGATCATGACCTTTGTCGAGTCGGGATTCGACACCAGATCCATCGCCCCACCCATGCCCTTGACACTCTTGCCCGGAATCATGAAGTTGGCCAGGTCGCCGGATCGTGAAACTTGCATCGCGCCTAAAATCGACACATCCACATGCCCTCCCCTGATCATCGCGAACGATTCACTCGAATCAAATGTCGAAGCACCCGGTAGAAGGGTCACCGTTTCCTTCCCTGCATTAACTATGTCACCATCAACTTCCTCGGCCGATGGGTATGGCCCCATCCCTTTTGCCCCCATTAACATCATAAGAGATCTGATGTCAGTCAAAGCCAATTTCAAGGAAGGCTTTCATTTTGCACTTTGAGAGATTGAATAGAAGGAAGCAAGTACTTACCGATGATTCCATTCTCACTCTGTAAGTGGACATTTGTACCCGGTTTGAGAAATTCAGGAACCAACATGGGCATCCCAATCCCTAGATTGACGTACATCCCATCCTGCAATTCTTGAGCGGCCCGACCAGCAATCAATTCACGCTTAAGTTTTGCAGCCACTTTAGGGTCATCACTCTTTGTGCTAGATTCGCTCTTGTTGGATGAACCAGTGGGAGATTGGTCTTGAGATCCAGATCTCAAGACAATCTTTTCAATCTGTTTTTTAGCTGTAGCCGGTACGATTCGATTGACACTGTAAAGGAAAAAAAATCAATCAAGATAGGTAAATCAGTATCCTAACAAGGTATCACTCAAGAGTCGAAAGGAGAGGAATCTGATTGGATATTTCTACGGACAAGATGCCAGGTAAATGGACCTGATCGGGATCTATTTCACCAGGCTCGACGATCTCTTCTGCTTCGACTATCGTCACCTTAGCGTTTCGTGCCATCACCCCACCAAAGTTTTGTGCCGAATAACGGAACACACAGTTCCCAAACCTGTCGGCTTTCCAGACGTGCACAAATGCATAGTCCGCTTTGATCGCTCGTTCCAATAAATATTGCTTGCCATCAAATTCACGCACTTCTCGTTTCTCTCCGGGAATCTCTACCTGTATAGTGGTTCCATAATGAAAGTCGGTAAAATGTTAGCCATCCATGTGCATCCTCATGTCATTCCTACGATCAGATTCGGAAAGAAACCTTTGAAGGATCTTGAGCACTGTATCGGATGGGTATCAACCCGGTCTGGACCGGCGTTCCATAGCCTACATGAACCAAGCAAGATGAGAGAGTCCTAAGCAAAGATATCAAGGGTTTTTGAAGTTGCCTCGATCATAAGAATGACGTTACCTGTTGGAGTATAAAAAGCAGGGATTCCGGCAGCTCCAGCTCTACATTTTTCTGCCAGGGTACCTTGAGGGGTTAGTTCTAAGGAGATTTGACCGGTCAAGTAAAGATTTTCAAGCTGGATATTTGTTCCCCAAGGAATAAAAAAACACAGGTCTTTTCAATTTGTATGTATTTCATTGGAAAACAAATATGTTATTGTGACTGACAAGTTTGTTGGCTCCGATGTAACTACCAATCAGCTTGGAGACTTGACGAGTGTGAAGTATGAGACCCAATCCAGCTTTATCAACTCCAGCGTTATTAGAAATGACCGTAAGGTTCTTGATTTCAGGTCGCCGAGCCACCGCTTGAATCAAAGTATCGGGTGCACCACACAAACCAAATCCTACGTAGAAAGAAAACCAGACAGACACATACACACAAACAGATCGGTATCTTTTCTGTAGTATCGGAAACAACGCAGTGTAAACAAAAATAAATTGTAAGACTGGTTGGACTTACCAGAAGAGGCAATCAACGAGTTACTCTTGATATCCACTATGGCCTCGTCCGCTGACCGAAACAGTTTCCCATTTGAAGGCTTGGGTTGATTGATTGCAATCGACAGAAATCGGGAAGTCAAGATAGGTCTTGTCGACAATGCTAGGGATATGCCTTTCTTCCAGTGAAACGAGCCATGAAGTGAGGCCATCGATTGTTTGAGGTAGACCATCTTGAGGTGGTATGGCTTTCTGTTGGTTTTTTAAAGGGGGGGGGTTTTCTGACTTCGGCTTAACCAGGTGGACTCCTTTTTTTGCGGCTGTCCAAAACTGGTGTGTATGTTTTTGACTATTTCTCCAACCGTGTTTATGTAAATATAACCCCATATATCACTCCTTCATTAACAGCACAGCACCGTCCAAGCAACCCTCTCCTCAGCAAGGATATGCTGGTTTGTTCTCTCAGAAAGAATCCACCATCTCCATCAACCTCAGCATTCCTTCCCCGTCGATCCACCCCAGCTGTTCGGCCCGTGCTTCCCCGGCTCTTATCGACTGAATCCGCTCGGACGACGACCGCCAAACGCTCGGCGCCATCGCCTTGGCTATTCTTCGCGATCTTCACTGCCGGCTGCTCTACGTTTGTTTATATCACCCACAAGCGCTCTCTGAACGACAGCGACCCACGTCTTCGGTCGAAAGCGCTCCCGAGCTTTGGCGGCGCACCCACCGTCGTACCCTCCGATAGACCCGAAGCTTCTTCGACCAGGCAACAAGCCTAACCGTTCTCATGGCGCCCGTCTTTGACAACAAGAAGACCACCGTCATCTTCGTCCTTGGGGGGCCTGGGGCCGGAAAGGGAACCCAATGCGCGCGACTGGTCGATCAATACTCCTTCGTACATCTCTCCGCTGGGGATCTCTTAAGAGCCGAACAAAATCGTGATGGGTCCACTTATGGCTCAATGATCAAAGATTACATTCGTGAAGGCAAGATCGTCCCCATGCAAGTGACCATCAAGTTGCTCGAAAACGCCATCGGCGCTGCCGTCGCTCAAGGAAAAACTCGGTTCTTGGTCGATGGATTTCCGCGCCAAATGGATCAAGCTGTCAAGTTTGACGAAGATGTGAATCCTTAAGCTTATCACACTCCATCATCACCCTTCATAATCCAGTCTGTGTTGATGTATATTTTGATATTTGATCGATTGATCGATTGTCCTAGGTCTGTCAATCTTCGTTTGTCCTCTTCCTGACTTGCCCCGAAGAAACACTCCTGAAACGACTCTTAGAAAGAGGAAAGACGAGCGGCAGAGAAGATGATAACGAGGAGAGTATCAAAAAACGATTCCGTTGAGTACCCTCTTCCTGCAAATATTCATCCCCAAGAATTCTCTTATTAATCAATTGAAAAAAAAATGAATATCAAATCTACATAGGTACTTTCATCGAAACCTCAATGCCTGTTGTTGACTACTACCAACAGAAACAGAAAGTAGTCAAGGTATGAATCTCAGAACCGAACTAGACTTTCCTTCACCGAAACAAAACTGGGGGTACCTGTATGATTTCACTGACATTGAGATTCCCATGTTAATCAGGTAAATTCGGATAAACCTATTGAAGAAGTCTATAAGGAAATCCAAGACGCGATCAAATTGCATCTCCCAGTTTTTTGAATAACTCGACTCTTTTACTATACACTTGATTCAAAGCAAACATCATCACTTCTTCGAAGGTTGTAGAGACTTACCGACCTTTTCTTACGCATCTTACACACCCCAGCTCTCTTGGAATAAATCCCTCTTCAGTCCCCAAATCGACCCCACTTTTTTAGGTCGAGGTGTATCGGCCTGGTTATGTGCCTGTTCAAATCAGTGTTTCAGTAATCCACTTTTTACAGCAGTGATCCTATATATGTAGGAATTCAATCAATTCACATGATCCATATGCCATGCTCCTTATTGCCACTCATCTTGATGTTATGGCCATTGAATAGAACCTTCAATGGCCTAACACATGATCATCTGTGGCCTGTAACATCTTTTGTTTGAAACACTAACACGATCAATCATGAAAATGTAAATGATAACGCAGCAATTCTCCAGGCCTCTTCAAGGGGTTTCATGTCTAAGTTCATGTCATCTATTAATCTTCAAGTTTCAAATTGCTCAATGTGGACTTGGTCATGGCACAAAGTTTCAGGTTTCATCTTGTGGCCAAGCTTTTGTTTGTTGACAAGTTGGCAATTTTCCAAGCCATTTTCAGGACATAGTTCATGACATCTTTTAACCTCAGAGTTTCAAATTACTCAATATGCGCTTGGCCATGGTACATGGATAGTTCCAGATCTCACCTTGTGATCAAGGTTATGTTCTTAACTGCCAATGAGCTTTGAACACCATTGTGGTTGATATTTCAAGGTGACTCAAAAAGTAGTACCTTCTTTTTTGTAAATTTCAAGCTCAACTGTAGTTACATAGCCTACCTTCTAGTCTGAATTGAACATCTTTCTTCAATCTTCTCTTCCAAAATCACCACACCAGGAAAATTCTATGCTCATGTTTTTTGCTGGTGGCATTGCATTTCCAGCATGCATACTTACACTGCTTAATAGATCTAAGGGTATCCAGGATGCTTCTGAGATGAACTAGTTTGGTTTGCTCTCATATTACTCTTGAATGTTCCACAATTTTAATTCTATGAAGTCTGGTCACATTTTTGTTTTTGGAAGATCAATCCCTGTGATTTTAAATACATTTATTCACTACAAGAAAAACATTCAAAAATCCCACTGGTGGGCATCTGAAAATTCTGAGAGGATGTGTTGGAATTTTGACTCTTTTTCTTCTCATCCCTAAAAAACTCATCTAACTCACTTTCAAATTAACAATGATTTGATAAATAATATACATGATTTTTACATTGTTTTGTTGGTTTTTGTGTGGTATCTTGTCAAGTTGTCTAGTGCTGAAATCCTTGTAGTCTTTGAACCCTGGTCTAGTCTTTATCAACTTTCATTTGCTCCAATTATCCTTCCAAGCATATGTTAAACTTTGTTATTCATTTTGATATTCAATTTCTCTCAACCACATGTTTAACTTGTTGTATGTAGTCTATTTAACACATAGGCTCTACTAGCAATTGAAAACCATTGGCTCTCACACTCTTTTCCCAACCCTTGAGTCTTTCCAACAAAAATTATTTTTTGTTGCCCAAAAAGTTTTTCTCTTCTCAAAAAATTCTCCGCCTCTCCGGTCAAAATTTCATCAGGATGCTTGTCCAGTTGCTCTAATCCCATAAGGTTACATTTCAAACTATGTAGCTTCAAATCCAATGAGGGGGTTCATGCTTTTCTGATTTCAAAATAAGTTAAAATCAGCCATTTCTGATTTCCCTGGAAAGTAGTAGGGTTCCTTTAGAAGACAAAACCCATGCTTGAACTTTGAAAAAATTGAGAATAACCAACAAACCCTTTTGAAATAAGCAGCAGTTTGGGCCGAGGGGAGCTGCCCTGATCCTATAGACAGTCACTAGATAAGAAGACACTTTGGAACCATGTGGAATTTAAAGCAGCAGTTACATCATAATATCTCCCATTTCAACTGGAGATCATTATCCTACCATTCCTTTCTTTTAATGATTCATATGACATTGAATAGCTGCAATTGGACACAGGCTCTTCTATATTTCCAGTTTCATCAATGTCAGTGTGACTTTTCTTTTTAAAGCTGTCCTGATTGCTCATCTTGTTTTTCTTTCTGTTTTTTTTTTTTTTTTTTTTTTTTTTGGAAAACCCACAAGAAATTATACTAGATCAGAATTTTCACCTTCCGTTGCTGAGGAAACCCTACTTATGGGTGAAAACCATCAGACTGAGTGATTGCACCCATTCTCAACTTTACCAATTACCAGTGGTGGGCCGCTATGCTAAACTGAACTACATGACCACTTAGTGTTAGCATAGCAGTGCTAATGTTGCCCCTTTTTTGTGTAGTGTTAGCAAAGCACTACTGCTGCTGCACTGCACTACTTTGTAGTAGCATTAACAGTGGCAATTTTTTGTGAAGTGTTAGCATGCAGCTATGCTGGTTACGCTACGCTAGAGCGCTTTGAGCGGCAAAAAAAAGGCTAAAAAGCCCTTTAGCATATTGGGCACATATTTTCACTCTATGCACATAGCGTTAGCATGATTCCACAAATCTGTGCTAATGCCAAGCTACATGTTAGTGCATTTTTGTACCCTCTGTGTGTTAGCAAAGATTTGTGGAATTGTGTTAATGCTATGCTCAAAATAGCGTATTTTGGCTAAGCTAGTAGCTGGCCCACCGTTGCTAATTACATTGGTCCCTCAACATGCCCCTGCCTGGCACACATAACTACTGGGAGGGAAATTTCATGAGGTGCCTTGTTTTGTCAATGAGTGGGATTTTCTGGGGGACCAGGACAGAGAGGGAGTCATGGTCAAAGTAATATTTGGCTGAGTTATATGCAGACTTGTAATTGTGGAGCTCACATGGTGCACTCAGGTGAAGGTTTATGTTACATCCGAAACATTGCGTGTCCATATTCCGCCGGTCCTCGCCGCCGAGCCTCGCCGAGCACAATCCCAATTACACACACTTTCACACGCCGCCCACACACAAGCTCAGGTCGTCGCCGGAGGCCTGCCTATTGACAAAACCCGCATGCCAATCGGCCCACCCGAGATTTCGACCATCATATCCATACGAAGCTTCGAGTCTCCTAGGACGCAGTTAGAGCAGGTGAGTCTCGTTGGTCTTCCATCCATCCATGCTGGAATTCGACGTCGGGTTCGGCAGTTAAAAGCCTGCAACTCAGCCAGGCAGGTTTTTTGTAAATTTCTAACGCCCGGGACGCCTCAAGGACGCTTAGCATTCACGACAACCGGGCACAGAAGCTGATACATACCAAGGACGAATGTGAGTTTGTTGATTTGACATATTTTCAATAATTTGGCGTGGATGCTAATCTTGTGTTTTGTGTGAAGATAGTGCTCTTCCTCCGAATATCGTATTCGGATCATGCCTCATGCATCGGAGGCGGCCACCGATGCAGCTCAACCCAAGTTCGTACGGTTATGTTGGATCGATCTGACTGGGCGAGTTCGCTGCAGGATAGTACACAGGACGCGGTACGAGCAGATGATCCAATCACCGCCGGAATCCATTTTATCGTTACCAGGTTAGTGCATCCTTTTTGTTTCATTTCGATCCAAACATGCATGTGTCCCAACTTTTTTTTCGATTTCTCTGGGCCGGTTTTTATATAGCTTGTGTGATGGGATTGGGGCATCAAGACGAACTGGCGCCCGGTTTCGGTCCCTCAGGAGATCTGTACCTGCAACCCGACAAGATATCGTACCGAGTATTGACTTACTTTCCTACCCATGCCATGGTCATGTGCAGTCTTCTGAGGCGGCGAGAGCCCGACAGTCATCAAGCATCCGAGAACCATTCTAGCCACTTTTCTCCGTACCCACTATGTCCTCGATTCATCCTGAGTTCGACTCTCCATTCCGGAATAGCTGAGAGTGGAGTGTCGTATCTGATCGGGTTCGAGATCGAAGTGGTCCTGCTCAAGTCCCTCCAACCTCTCGAAGCGGTGGATAGTGGACCACACTTTTGGAGCGGCGCTTCCAGTTTCCGGAACGGTGCCGCAGGTCTAGCATGCATTGAGAAAGTGGTCGGCTACCTGGAGGAGGCAAATATCACTGTGGAGCAATGGCACGCTGGCAGCGCACCTGGACAGGTTGGTAGCTCTTCAAATCTCTCACTCAGGGCTGATATCCAACACAATTGTTCTTTTGCTCCTTTTTTTAATTACTATATAACCGTCGTCTCAGTTCGAACTTGTCCTCAGTCCGCATGCGCCTTTTCAATCATGTGATGAACTGATTTACGCCAAGGAGTTGATCTATAGTGTTGCTCACGAGATGGGTTTGAAAGCGACATTTTCACCTAAACCGTTCCAAGCTGCACGTGAGTCCATTCTTACTTCTCGTAATCCTACTCCTTCGCTTTTAGTGTTGCTAACGATCACTGGCTTTGAATTTACAGGTGGCACTAGGTCGCCCATGCATATATCTCTTCACAAGAAAAACAAGGTATGTATCAAGTCACCTTTCCCTGCTTCATGAATGGTTAACGCGAATGTGTAAGCTAGCTGTCTCACTGCGTACTTTCCGGATGATTGATCGGTGGTTTCAGCAATTGCCTGAAGGTCAATTGCAATCGAGAAACTCCTCGTCTTCTCCACCGTCACCCACGGGTTAGCTTCCGTTCTGAAATGTGTCCCTCTTCGTGCTTTTTAATATGGGACATAACGAAACTGAAGCTTGAAACCTGAAAACAATCAATGTATATATATATACATATATATATTTCAACATAAAGCTAGGTCGAGCACTACCATCAACTTTATTGAAAGTCACTGGCTGGCCGGTATGCAACACACGCCTTCATCTCTGTCCTACTATTTTTGCTAAACAATATCCTCGATATCGATATTAAATGCGGAAATGGGGTCCGTCCCCATCCTGTAGGAATATTATTACATTTACCTGCCATCACAGCTTTCTTGCAACCTTCGTCGTTCTCTTATGACCAAGTAGCCAAAAGTTTCTGGAGTGAAGGGACCTGGGCTTTCTGGGGAACTGGCAACAGGGATGAACTATATTATTTAACCTCTTTTTTTACATATATATATATGTATGTGTTATCAGGTGTTCTAATCTTTCGATTCTTTTATTAGGTCAGCCCCGATCCGACTGTGCACATCAGCTGCTACTTCTGGAGTGGCAGTTGATAAACATTTCGAATTGACAACCTGCGATGCCACGACGAATGTTTACCTGGCCCTCAGTGCTGTCTTGACCGCCGGTCTGCTAGGAATACGTGAGTCGAGAACCATGCCCACTTGGCGTGCGGATTTTTTTTTCTTGTCGCAGAAAAATCTCTTACGGCTCATTTTTGATGCTAGAAACGCCGATTGAGCTTCTTCATCCCGATTGTCGTGGTAAGGATTTCCTCGCGGGTTTCGGGTATCTGATGGAGTGACAAAAGTTAATGAAATTAACGGGCTCGCGCCAATCTACCAAAAACAAAAACACAGTTGATGTAAACAAGATGACGGCTCAAGATAGACAAGCTCACAAGATCACAGCAGCTCTACCTCGAAGTCTGGATGAAGCTCTGATGGCTCTGGAGAAAGATACCACATTGAGCAAAGCACTGGGTCAAGTATTTGTACGCGCATACACCACGACGAAAATCGTGAGTTGTTTTGGAGAGGTTTCGTTCATTTTTTTTCACGGGTACAGCTCTCTGAGTTGATGGTGTTGTTTTTTTTCTGTTTGCAGACTGAAATCGAACGATACAAGGCCTTGACATCTGAAGAACAAAAGCGATTTGAATTGGAACATTATTGATCAACATCCCATTCTGTTTTCCAACTAACTTGTTTGGACTTTCATTATGTTTTCTTTTTTTTTTTTTGGTTTGGATGGTTTCTTCAAGTGTTTAGTATGAAGTTCACCTGAACAGCCCGTCTAAAATTTTACCGATTCATACATACTTTAACAACATGAACATCTAGTCATAGACTTGTACAACAGTTGGTTGGACACAATCATAGCTATCTATTTTCAAGTCACTTTCTTCTTATCCCTCAAAGTATGCCAACCTTGCTCATTAAACCTATCATCTTTCCACCCAAGTGTCAGCCTGTGTGATGCCAAGAGCTCAACTCTTGTAGCTACACAAGGTGCAAAGGCTAACAAGAAAGCTGTACAGTGGGTAGACAGTGAAAAGTGGCTGGTTACTTTGGATTCCAGAGCTCCAAAACACAGACTTGAAGTCATGAGACTTGGTCAAGTGGTGCAGAATAGGTTCTAAAAATTGAATATGAGAAAACAAAAACAAAAAACAAAGTTGCAAAATTTATGAAAAATAAAAAAATAAAATTCATTTTTCTCAAAAGCTTTAAAATTCATTTTTGGGGAGTGATAGTGCTGAGAGAAAGGAAGATTGGGATATTAAAAGAATGATTATAGATGAAAATTTTGAAAAAATTGGTTTCCAGATGGCTTCAAACAGCTGTTGATTGGGGCATTCACCAGCCCACATTGCAGTAAAACACTAGAATTTACTGTTTTGGCCTCCAATCTGGACAAACCTTTTTTGGTTCCAATTTTTTTCATTTGTAATCATTCTGCCCATGTTCCATTAATTCTTTCTTTCAGCACTCCCAGTCCCCCAAAATGAATATCAAAGCTTTTGAAAAAAATCAATTTCATTTTTTATTTTTCGCAAATTTTGAAACTTTATTTTTTATTTTTATTTTTTCATATTCATTATCTGGGGGGGGGGGGTTGATAAGTGCAAGCCAAACCCCCTTGTGCACGCCAAACTGCACGCCAGCAGCAGATTGGCGTGCAGGCAGGCAAGCCACTTGCCTGCAGGGGGTATACCCTGCAGGTTGGCGTGCCTGCCTGCACGCCCATGGGCTGTCCCATAGGACCCAGGCATGGGTCCTATGGGACGGCCCCTTTGTTGTTGTTGTTGTTTTTTTTTTCATTTCATTTCATTTTTTTTTTTTTCAAATCCCCTCGGCCTAAAGAGGCCGAGGTCACACCGCCGGGAGGAACCCCTCCCGGATAGCGTATAAAACCACCACCTTGTCGGGAGGGGTTCATCCCGGCGATGTGGTTTCGACTGCCTGCGAACAGGTGGTCTTTATACAAACTTGTTGGAAGGAAACCCTTCCGATGAGCTGGTATATGTACCAGCTTGTCGGAAGGAGTTCCTTCCGGCAAGCTGGTTTCTATACCAGCTTGTTGGAATGATTCCCTTCCGACGAGCTGGTTTTTATACCAGCTTGTCGGAAGGATTCCCTTCCGACGAGCTGGTTTTTATACCAGCTTGTTGGGAGGGTTTCCTTCCGACGAGCATGTACACCGGCTCGTCGGAAGGAAACCCTTCTGACGAGCTGGTATAAAAACCAGCTCTCCGGGAGGGTTCCTCCCGGCGGTGTGACCTTGGCCTCTTTAGGCCAGGGGGATTTGGAAAAAAAAATGAAATGAAATAAAAAAAAAAACAAGGGGGTCGTCTCATAGGACTCATGCCTGGGTCTTATGGGACAGCCATGGGCGTGCAGGCAGGCACACCAACTCTGCAGGCAAGTGGCTTGCCTGCCTGCACGCCATTTCTGCAATGGCGTGCAGGCGCGCACACCAATCTGCTGCTGGCGTGCAAGAGGGGGGTTGGCTTGCACTTATCAACCCCCTTATCCTGAGACCTATTATGCATCACCTGACCAATTCTCATGACTTTGAGTCTGTGTTTTTGGGGCTTTGGAATCCAATATAAGCAACCAATTTTCACTGTCTACCCACTGTACAAGTGCGGGTAACACTTCAAATGGGCAGATTTGATGTGAAAGAAATGAAACAATAAAAACTGTTAAGTTTTTGTTTACAGAGGGGTCTGAGTTGCAGTGCTATTTACTTTGCCCTCAGCCTTCAGGGCATCTCCAGCAGAGCCAGGGTGGATTTCCAGCCAAATAGCCACCTGGAACCACATTTCACCCCCTGTCTCAGCTCTGTCACAATACTCCCACGGCAGACTGGCAATAGATAGCAGGGGGCAGTGGTCCAAGCTGCCAAGTTCTGGTAGACAGCTAGACACCTCCGCCAAGGCATCTCCACAATGAATCCTATGGATTGACAACAATGATGATTATCTGGTCATCCAATGTACCTTGCAAAAACAAAATGCTCAACGGCCCCAATGAGGTGGATCTCAAAAGGGAAAGAAACCCTCAGCCAACAACACCTTGGAGGAGACCAACAACTTCATGACAATTACTTTTCTAGGAGCCCAGCATACCCTGAAGAGTTTTTTAAAAGGTGATTCCGAATGAGACAAGACTTGTTCCTGAACATCAATATGGAAGCTTATGTCAAGAAAAACAATTACTTTGTTCAAAAACACAACACAGATGGCCGGCCACCTTGGCTTCTCACCATATCAGAAGATGAGCTCAGCTTTAAGGATGCTTCCATATGGCTCAAGTGCCAGCTCACTGAACAAATAATTTTGAATGGGATACAACACATCTCTGGAATTCTTGAAATTGTTTACTAGGGCTGTTGTTGATATGTTCTCAGATAAGGACCTCCAAAGTCCAAACAAATCTGATATTGCTAGACTTCTTTCAGTTTCCAAAACCATTGGTTTCCTGGAATGCTTGGATTGCTAGACTGTATCAATAATGCAACTGATCCAACATGCGTATTGGATTGTATTTTTAGCCAATAAATTGTATTAGTATTAGATCAAGTTTGCAATCCAATACCAATAAATCTCAGACTGTGCATTGGCTTGCTTGATCCAATATACAATTTTGATTTTTTGTGTCTTGGGAGGGTGATACAGCCTGATACTGAGGGTATTGGTGCTGTATTGCTGGTATGCACATGCCAATACAATACCAAGTTTTGAAATTTTCAGTATTGGGTAATGTGATACAATACCAGTATCCAATCCAATGCACATGTGTGTTTGTGTGTATTGGACAACCAGTACAATCCCAATAAATGGGTGTTTACTGGGTTGAATTGGATTCTTGCACCGTTGACTGTATGCATTGGAAATTGGAGAACTTTCCAACAGCCTATGCAGGTCAATACTCAGGGAAAGAGAGAGCCAACAATTGTTCTATAGGCTCTGACATCATACAACCAAATCTGAAACAGAGGCAAGACAAGACAATATACGGCTCTTATTTGTATTGTCTCAGAATTTGAATACCCAAAAATACCAATCCTTGTTTGTCTCACTTTCCTGAGGCAATATACACATATTGTCTTTGGAAAGTGAGACAAGTGTTGTGTGTTGTCTTGGAGGGCTGATCCCACCAAAAATTTCTTCAATACACAAGATATTTGGCCGTATCAACAAAAAAAAACAAAGACATTTTTTTTGCTTGGTAAAGACAAATCCAAGACAGTGGATTTTCTCACCAACCAAGGAAATACTGATACCAGGTAGTTGTCTTAGAATAGAGACAATACACACAAATACCAAACACGTGTCTCACCTCTGTTTCAGCATTGATATAACACCTGGATCTGGCATGCATTCTTTGGATTGCCTGGACTGCTTAATGAAAAGAATATACTTGATTGTTTGGCTCTCTTCACTCAACTTCATGATGGAAAAGCACCAAATATGAGAGAAAAAAGAAAACTACTTCAATAGGGGGTATCAAATATAGGAAATCCATCATTAGAAACCAGTCACTTTTCCCAACACCTTTTTTTGTATCAATTCACCCCAAAATGGGTTAGATGAATAACCAACATGTTTAAAAAAGTGTGGATTTTTTCAAACCAGTCAATTGAATAATGGTGGATTTGGTTATATTTGATACCCCCTAATTGACATAAAAGAGAAAAAATGGAAATAGGGGGTATCAAATATAAGAAATCAACCATTAGAAACCAATTACTTTCCCAAAAATAAAATTTTGCATCAAATACAGGCCCTCAAAGGTGTTAACTGAAGAACCAACATGTGCAAAAAATGGTGATTTTTTTCAAACCAGACAATAGTGGGGCTCACAATAAGCTTTTGCAAGGAAGATATTAAAAAAAGTTGGTATATGTGAGCCCTTGGCAGGAGGCTTACATTTCAGCTTAAATTGAGCTTTCCTTATAATGGATCCAGAAAAATTGAAGGCCACCCCCCCTAATGGAAACAGTCTGACTCTCAAGTCTACCTCAACATCCTGCCATCCTGCTAAAGCTACTTATCAGTTAAACAATATGTGAGGACTCAACAAACTCCAACAACTCATAAGGGAGGTATTTCCGGCCATGGTGTATCATCACAACAAGGCAACTGAAGAAATTAGTCACGATCCTTCCGTCAATCCCCAGCTTTGGTGCTATTCTGTTCCCTGAAAAATCAAGCTTAAAGTTCATTTGGGAGATTTTTTTGATGACAATGCAGAAGTTGCTGAAATTACAGAGGAATTATTTTCAAATTGGTATCTGAGCTTGCATACCACACCAAAAACCCACAAAAATTAAAACATGGCCAAGCTGTTTGAAATGAATAATAATGACTTCATGCAAGGTTCCAGAACCACCAAATATGATTTTTTTGATGCTTGATTAAATCCTTCTCCATCCTATATTTTACATTAATAGCCTTTGACCTCAGCTCCCCACTCCCTACAATTGGCCCTCACACTTGAACAACTTGGATCTAACAGTAACAGCACTTCAGTAGGTATGGTAATTAAAGGCAGCTGGTGTGTTCAAGCAATTAATGAAGTATTGAATAACTCTATCATTTGGCCAAATAAAGATTGAAAATCTGAGATATACTGCAATGGTGAAACCAATCCAATCCGATACAGTATTGGCCAATTTATCGGATTGGATTGTTTTTTCGATACCAGGTATCAAAAAATAAGGGATTGGATCACCCTAGGAATTTGATCCCATGGTATTGGGATCACATAGCAATCCCAATCAGACACCCAAAAGCTGTGGGCTGCATGCCTCACCCTTTGGTATCATCCAAAGTGTAATCAATCCAATCCCCAAATCGGTATTTATCGGGGATCAGATCAAAAATGGACCCAATACTAGGTATTGGTACCAGATTGAGCTCCAATCCAATCCCAATTTACAGGCTTTTTGACCCTGGTGTGTGCATGTCTGATTTTGCATTTATTATCAATTTATTTGTCTATCTGATTGATTTCTGCTTTGTCTTTCAGGTCAATATCCTATTGCAGACTTGGCTTATGGACTATCTATCAATGGTAGCAATCCCAGCATATGAATCACCACTCTCAAAGATAAATCAAAATAAAGAATTCAACTACTGTTTAGCCAAATAATGAATACACAAAAAGCATACCATCAGGATTTCCAAGGGCTGGTGGGCATCCCTCCAGCAGCTTTATATCCCTGTATACACTTCAAAAAATGGTTGAGATAATTTGTTGGATCAACTGTTGTGTGGCTCTACACAACATGCTGGAGCACCTTGACAACTCTTGGGATGAACTTGAAACCCTGAATGATAACAATGAGCTGGGAGAACCAGAAGGAAATCATGAGGATGATTCCAAGGGCCACAGCAAAGAGATTCAATGGAACTGCTTACTCTTTAATCAACTAACTGGTATGTACATTGAATATCCCATCACACTGAAAACCCCTGTTTTTTTATCCAAGTAAATCCCTCCTTTTTTCAGTTTTACTATCTCATCATCATTCTAGAGCTAGCTTTTGTGATTGGTAATGATATTAATTTCCCAATAGAACTGAATTAGTACATAAGAGCAACTCAACAGCAGGCAGTAAATCAGTCCCTAGTTGGAATTTACCAACTCAACATGAGCCACTGTGGCCGCTATTTGTGTCTCAAATCTACGACCATCCCTAAATTTTATGTCTGAGTCCCTACATGTAGGGACTCGTAGCAACTCCTCTATTGAATGCCCAATCCCCTTTCACATAACAACCAGCTTGTGAAACTCTACTACCTCAATCCAAATCAGTTCCAACTTCACATCACTCATCTTTTTAGATGGTCATGGGGTATCCGTCAGCGGATACCTGTTATCCGCTGATGGATACCCCCCCGCGGCAACAAATACCCGCCAGGGGGTACAGATTTGGCTGCAGATAGCGGCTTTTCCCCCAAACCTGGCGGATATCTGGGTATCCCCAGGGATACCCAAGGTCAAGAATAGTATGAGTCTGGTTGTCGGCGCCAGTGGCAGGTGTGCGCCAAAGTGCGCCCGCCCCGCACCCACGCACCCAGGCGCGCCCTTTTCCCCAAAAAGGGGGTAGGGCGCGCAAATTTAACCCTAACTTTTTCAGGGAGGCCTTCAGAGCACGGAAACATTGAGCAATGTGTTCATGTGGCCCCTGGGAATGACAGGGGAAACTACGTGAGAAGAATCAAAGATGATAGTAGAGTAGATGGGTTTGAAAGGGGAGCCAGCCAGCAGCCAGTCCATCGTCAGAGTTAAATTCAAAGGGATCAAGCTCCTCACTGTAATCATTCCCTCCGGTGTACTTCCTAGCTGCTATTATGCCACCAATCAGAAACTCAACTGGTCCACAGGAATGGATGAAGCCTTCAAAAAGCCATGGTCCAACATGGGAAGGATTCTTAATGTCAAATCTGCATAACGATGAATCCAGGCGACAATCTGCTAAGTGTAGTTATTGTCAAAAAGTCTTCAACCAAGGAAAGCCCCAACTCCTCTTCAGCCACATCAAAGATGTCTGTCCAGTTATTCCCGCCGAAAAAAAGTCATCTTACTTATCTAACAGTATGAAGGTCGATGAATCAAGTCATCCAAAATCCTCCGATCAAGAAAATAGTCGAACGATATCCGTCACAATCAATCCTAGTAGCCAAACATCTAGCCAATCAGTCAAACAGTACTTTCAGCCCTTTTCAAAGGAAGACTCTCAAACTCCATGAGTTGCTTCTTAAATTGATTGTTAGCTCCAATTTACCATTCACATACCTCGAGAGCCCCTACTTCCAAGAATATCAGTTAGAACTAGCACGATCTGTATACAAGATACCTTGTCGAGTGCAGGTAATCAAAAAAGTATTGCCTGTAGTACATGCTCAACATGAATTATGGCTGCATGATAAAATTAAAGGACAAAATCAACTTACCTTGTCTTTGGATGGATGGACGGACAACTCCGGCAACAGTATATACACATTAATGGCTCTCAAAGGTGCTAAGCAAAAGTACTTTATCAATATCCTCGACCTCAACCACAAGCGGCACACAGCTGAAAATATCTTCTCATCTCTCAAGGCTTCACTCAAGTCCAAGCAAATTGGATTGGATCAAGTATGTGCTGTTGTCACAGATTCACCATTGGTTATGCTTAAACTTCGTGTGAGTCATTCTAAAATATAACCTACCAGTTGTTTTCATTTTGCTAATTGGTTAGTCTCAATAATTACATCATGCAGAGACTCTTGAATGACAAAAATCCCCACATTCTCAAAATTCACTGTACCTTGCATGTTTTCAATCTCATTGCTAAGTGGTTTGTCAATCATCCCACGATGGAAGCTGTTGTCAAGAAAAACAAAACATTGGTCAATTACTTCACCAATTCTGGTTTCTGGCGCGAGCATCTGACTACGTGGCAAAAAGAAAACGGTGTCAAACATGGTCTACAAACCCTTTGTGAAACACGGTGTTACTCGATGGGGAAGGTCTGCTTGGGTGTTCAATCACACGAAATTGGCTTCCAAAAATGCCTTGAACTGCTCCAAAACCAACAAGTGGACACACCCTCGATGACGGACGCAGTTGTCAAGGTCATTGAGGATCGAGATCACTTCACTGCAAATCAAACACTAGTTCAGCTTTAAAACCAGTGGTTGATGTGATCGGTCATCTAGAACGAGCAGATACTTGTCTTGCTGATATCTGGAAAGAAATGATAGATGCCTATAAGAACATTTGAGACACTGAAGTTTACTCTAGGTTTGGGCCTGTCAAACAGCATTGCCTCGATGTCCTTCATGCGCAAACAAAAGTCTTTCATGAGGACATTTATGTCCTTTATTTCTTTCTTCACCCAGCTTATCGACGTGTAGCTGTCTCAAAGAAGCACTCATTAAACGACATCGGTCGGATGATCCTCCAAGTTGCGAAACACTGGAAGATGTCTAAATTTGAGGCGTCTCTCCTTCGAGATGCTGTCCATTGATATTATAATGGAATCTATCCTTACAATTCAAAGACAATTTCTAAACCTCTACATTACTGGCTCACCGTTCCTTATACACCCGAGTCAGAATCACTTAAAAAACTGGCGATTGGAATCCTCGAGATTGTACCTCACGCTGCTGGAGTCGAGGGACTGTTTTCAATGATGACCGCTATGAAAACAAAAACTCGTAATAGAATTTTGCCTAATACTTTGAAGATGATGGCTCAGATCAAGCTACATCTTCTTCAAGGTGACCCCTGTCAGCCTGCTACTATTCAGAGACAACCTGACCATAGCATAAACATTTAGAGACATTATTACATATACTACCCCCATAGCATATGTAATTAAGGTCTATTTTATATGTACATAATATAGAGACATTATTACATATGAATATATAAAAACATTAATATTTAAATAAGTGGAATCACTATACTAGAGACATTATTACTCATTACATTAAGTTTTACTAGTCATGAAAGAAAACATAAAAATAAACCAAAAACATTTATAAATAAACATTTTTAACATGAATCTACAAATAACTTCTAAACCTTAAGCAAAAGTTAGAATATTATTTCAGATTCTTAATTCTCATGCAAAATAACCTAGGGTACCTCACCAGAAGTACCCCTGAATTATTACTCCTTCAGGTACTTCTGTGTACTCTGAGTGACACTTGCTCATTTTGCTAAAAACCCTCCCAGTTACATCATACTACATGTTGTGACAGGTCTACATATGTAATTAAGGTTCATGCAGTTCGGGAAAAATCTGAAAATAAGGTTGACATCATTGAAACCTTAACTACATTGTCACAACAACTGTAACTGGCTGGTCAAAAGCCATTTGTGGCCCTTTTTGGCCCAGTTTGGCTAACTACGCCTGGTTAAGACCAGCCCACTGGTCATTAAAGGGTCCCAGTGCCCAAACCATGGCTGCAGGTTCGTCACAGCACTCCTTAGTGTGTGTTACAAGCCTCACTTCAGCCCTCTGCCACCTGTAACCAAGGACTACAGGTGTCTAGGCAGTGCTACAGGTCACCAATGCCTAGTAGGAGGCTTACCCCAGCCAAACAGAGTTCTGAGTTCGCCTCCAAGGGCCCAGAATGAGTATATAAGGAGCCCTTCTTGACCACGAACTCAAATTCCCCATCTTCATTACCATTTACCAGCAATAACCACCTCCAACAACCAGTTTTCACCTGTTTTTGGCCCAGTTCCTGCTGTTTCTGTCTTGGATATCACCAACCCAACCATCAACTGTTCCCCAGCACTCTTCCAACACCTGTTACCCAGTTTTCTGAGCGCTCCCAGACCAGTTTTCACCCACCTGAAGTCCCCTTGGCTTGGAAATAGTACTAAGTAGGTAATATTTCCTTGATACTTCAGTTGTAGGCATATTGTCTGGGCATACTCCTTTCCACAAAGGACCAGATCATCAGGTACATCAAAAATACCCCTGTTTAACAGGTCCTGATTCCTTGGAGGGCACCATAAAAACCCCTGTAACTCAGGCCCCTCCTTTTATAAAAACTTAACAGTTTTTATTATCTCTTTTCTTAATATCAAACACCTCCCATTCCAAGTGTTACCCACACTTGTACACCTTTTTTCTTAGCTTTGCACCTGGTGTAGCTAGAAGAGTCAAGCTCTTGGCATCACCTAGGCTGACAACCCCTTACTAGCCACTAGAAGAAAAAAACCAGAGGACTTCTTCAAATTCAACCCAAGAAGACTCAGAATATGAAAACATGAAGGCTTACGACTCTTTCATCACACCAGCCGAACTTGAGGTCTTTGAAGACGGCATCTTTACAGAGAACCAGCTCACTACAGTAACTTCAAGAGAAGATGCGTTCATGGACACAATCTTCGACTTCGACTTGATCGAATCTACTCCCGACCAGCCTGACAACGACGTTATCGACATCGATGCAATTGAAGGCAACAAATCTGACGCATCCGACTGGGATCCAGAAGATCTCTGGGTCTCATAATTTGATCCTCACATCCATATTTTACTCCACGTTTTATCCAATGTACATAGAATCATTAGCCTCAACAAAAAAACCCTTTGCTTTCACAAAATTAAATCTTTTCTCCTTAAAAACAAACCCACGCCCGGGGCGCCCCCCGCCAAAGGTGCCATTTTTTGGTGCCTTTCGGCGCGCCCTTTTCCAAATGTGGCACCGACAACCAGAAGTATGAGTGGCCAGCTGGAAGGGTTTCCTTCCAGTTGACAAGGATGTACCTTGTTGACTGGATGTGTTCCCTTCCAGCTGCCAATGTACCTTGTTGACTGGAAGCAAACCCTTCTGGTTGACAAGGTACATGTATCTCACCAACTGGAAGAAAACCTTCCAGCCGGCAAGGTACATGTACAGTGGGTAGACAGTGAAAAGTGGCTGCTTATTTTGGATTCCAGATCTCCAAAAAACAGACTTGAAGTAAGACTTGGTCAAATGATGCAGAATCGGTTCTAAAAATGAGTATGAAAAAATAAAAACAAAAAACAAAGATTCAAAATTTGTGAAAAATAAAAAATAAAATTTATTTTTCTCAAAAGCTTTGAAATTCATTTTGGGTGAGTGAGAGTGCTGAGAGAAAGGAAGATTGGGATATTAGAAGAATGATTATGAATGAAAATTTTGGAAAAATTGCTTTCCAGATGGCTTCAAAGAGCTGTTGATTGGGGCATTCACCAGCCCACATTGCAGTAAAGCACTAGAATTTACTGTTTTGGCTCCAATCTGGACAAACAACCTGGCTAAACCTTTTTTGGTTCCCTATTTTTCTCATTTATAATCATTCTTTCCATGCTCCACTCTTTCTTTCTCTCAGCACTCCTCCTCCCCCAAAATGAATATCAAAGCTTTTGAAAAAAATCAGTTTTATCTTTTATTTTTCACAAATTTTGAAGCTTTACTTTTTGTTTTTATTTTTTCATATTCATTTTCTGGGACCTATTATGCAACACCTGAGCAGGTCTCATAACTTCAAGTCTGTGTTTGGGAGCTCTGGAATTCAATATAAGCAGCCACGTTTCACTGTCTACCCACTGTACCTTGCCAACCATTTAAAGGGAGGGTATCCAAAGATACCCGCCAAGGTAGGGGGATAACTGCCGGCAGATGCAGGTGCGGGTGCGGATGCCTTTTCCCTAGAAAAAGCAGCTGGATATCTGCATCTGCGCGGATATCCAGATGCAAAGGGGCCATCTCTACATCTTTTCACAAATTTTTGAGGACTATCTTGATGTATTCTGCAGCACTTTAAGCACAGATGAAAATGATCCAATCCCCAGATTGGTATTTATGGGGGATGGGATCAAAAATGGACCCAATACCAGGTATAGGTATCAGATCAATCTCCAATCCAATCCCAATTTATACAACAACTGGGATTGTGTGGAGCAATCCAATGTATTTGGTCCATTTTCATTTGGATGTCAACTGTTGAATTGGGATTTTAATGTGATCCCAATCCCAATCTACTACCATTTTGATCCAATACCACAGCATTGGATTGCTAGGGTGATCCAATCCTCTATTTTTCAATACCTTGTATCAAAAAATTGATCCAATCTGATAAATCAGCCAATGCCGTATCAGATTGGATTGGTTTCACTGTTGCTTTAAGGCTGTAAAGTTGGATTTGCAGTCCCAAAAATCAAATTTTAATTCCCCAAAAATAAGGGGCCGCAGTGGAGTTGCTCTAAGACAGGACTATTGATCTAGAAAGTAAAATGTTTGTTTGTGTTTGTGTTTTTGATTTGAGTCCTACACAGTGAAGTTGTTTGAGATAGAATAATAAGGACTGAGAAGATTTTTGGTGATAGAATATGTTAGATTGATTGGGATAGAAGAATGTGTGTAGAAATGACACACTATTGAAAATTAAAATGTAAAATATCTCAGAGCACACTGCTCATGAGGATCTCAATCTCAGCAGCACTCTTTCCCTCACTTATACATTTCTCAGCTGCGCAAATTTTGGATTTTTCTTGGGTTGTTATTTCATCTTGTTCATGTTTGTATTGATTTTTTTCCAGTTAAAATTACATTCCTCCATTGCCATGTGTGTATCAAGGTATGCAAACTTCTTATCAGACAACAATCCAAAGGCACCAGCAACAGTTGATTTTCCCTGTGGATTGTTTGTTTCCCTCCTTGAGGAAGGGATTGATTGATAAACTTGATTGGCAAATTGTCCATGTGGTGCAGATGAATTCAACAGTTAATCATCTGACATCATGCATTTCAACTTCTTTCCCCCTTGCAATGCTCAATTGGAGGTTGCCAAGTATATATGCCATAGTAGGGCAGGGCTGAGACAAGCCAAGATGATCCTGGGGTGGCCCACACTGAGGGCATGGTACAGACGGGTGATGAAGCAAGAGGTGGAGTAGGTTGGTGGCTTTCTGGAGGATACATGGATGGAAAATCCAGCAATTCCATATCTTCATTATTTACTGGGGATTCCATTCAGTTGATTTGCAAAGGGCCGCCAGACTGCCTCCCAGCCAGAATCAGGAGAATCTTGGCATTGTTTGACCAGTCCAGTACCTCAGGGGTTGGTTCCCAGTCAGGTTAAAAAATTTGATGTTTCTTGGATTGTTGTCATTGTCCAGTTGATTGTTGAGCAACATGCT